AAAGAAAGAAAGAAAGAAAGAAAGAAAGAAAGAAAGAAAGAAAGAAAAAAGAAAAAGAAAAAAGAAAGGAAGGAAGAAAGAAAGGAAGGAAGGAAGGAAGGAAGGAAGGAAGGAAGAAAGGGAGGAAGGAAGGAAGGGAGAGAGGAAGGAGGAAAGAAAGAAAAAGAAACATTGGAGCATTTTTAAATGCATAGAAGAGAACAGAATGAAATCCAGAAAGAATCACAGACAAAGTAGGACAGCTTTGAAAGTTACATGTTAAATTTATTATTAAAGAAAAGTAAGCTGTATATAATAGAGATCTGTGGTTTCACACCAATCTTCTTTTTTATTGTTGTTGTTCTACTATATATATGAAAATGTCCATTTTCTTTGATATTTAAGTTCAGAATTTTTTAAAAATTTAAGAAAAAAAATATAAGAAATAAGGCTAGAGACCCACATGTACAAAAATATTTATAGCAGCTCTTTTTGTGGGGGCAAAGAACTGGAAATTGAGGGGATGCCCATCAATTGGGAAATGACTGAACAAGTTGTGGTGTATGAATATAATGGAATACTATTGTGCTATAAGAAATGATGAACAGGCAGACTTCAGAAAAACCTGGAAAGACTTGTATGGTCTGCTGCTGAGTGACGTGAGCAGAACCAGGAAAACGTTGTACACAGTAACAGCCACATTGTGAGATGACTAGTATTGATAGACTTACCCCTTCTCAGCAATACAAGGATCTAAGACATCTCCAAAGGCCTCATGATGGAAAATGCTATCCACATCCAAAGAAAGAACCATGGAGTTTGAATGCAGATTGAAGCATACTATTTGCTATTTTTTTTCTTCTGTTGTGTTTTGTTTCCTCTTTCTGGTGGTTCTTCCTATTGGTTCTAATTCTTACCTACAACATCACTAATGTGAAAATATGTTTAATAGGAATGTATATGTATAGCCTATATCAGATTTCGTGCCGTCTTGGGGAAGGAGGTGGGGAGGGAGGGGAGAGAAAAATTTAAAACTCAAAAGTTTATGGCAGTGATTGTTGATAAATCACCAATCAAAGAAATAAGACTAGAAAGGAAGATTAGAGTTAGATTATAGAGAGCTAGGGATGTCAGGTTAAAAAATTTTGTATTTTATTTAACCAGCTAATTCTCTCCTTGAACAGGAGAAAGAGGGAAAAGAGGTCTAGAAACATTACCTGAATTTCCTGAGGCAACTCAGCAAATTGGTAACAGCACCAGGATTTAAATCTACCTTGTTGTAGAGCCATGGGCCTGGCATAACTTCAATGCCCATCTTCCATTTTAGCCTATGTAATGATGCGTAGAAGATATGTCCTAAAGCTGTGTTTTTTCACTGGCAACTGAACCTTCATGGGGTGGGAGAAAATGGTTGCGTCTTCCTGTTCACATGAACACCACGCAGGGGCCAAAATGATCCTTTGCCCTCAGATAGGACGGAATGAGGCAAAGGGCTGACCAGATCAGAGTCTCCTTACAGGGGTAGCACTGGGAGAAAATAGTTCTCCCTTATCCCTGTTAGTGGCTGGGAGTAGGAAGGAATTTCAGCTCCGCCTTGGAACAGAACCACATAGCAGTGCCATTCATCACTTACATTACATCCCAACATTAAAGCCTTGTCCCACTCTTCCCCAAAATGTACCCACCACTCCAAAGCTGAGGCCATTTTCCAATACTTCAAATGATCTATGATCTCATACACGTGGGCACTCCTAGTACTCCTTCAGATTGTAACTTTAGAATTAGGCTTTTCATGAACATGACTTTTCATCTTGTGCCATTCTTATCCATATTCTTCCATTGATCTACCACAGAAGATGTGCCCGATTTGCTCTAGGTCTTGCAGCTTTCCGTGGGTACTAGTGCAGAGACAGAGCTAGCCATCTGTTATCCCTCACATTTTTCTTTTCTTTTTTTTTCTCCTTGGTGAAGCAATTGGGGTTAAGTGACTTGCCTAGAGTCACACAGCTAGTAAGTGTTATGTGTCTGAGGCTGGATTTGACCTCAGGTCCTCCTGATTCCAGAGCCACCTAGCTGCCCTCCCCACACACTTTTCAACAAAGGGTTCAGACTCTGCCTCCATTTAATCAATTCATTCAACAAACATGTAGGAAGAGAAAAGAAATAGAAGAGTCACTGAAGCATTTTTTTTTAATGAAGGTAACAGAAGGAAGGCCAAAAGAGAACACAGACAAGCAGGATAGCTTTGAAAATTATACGTTGAATCTGTTATAGACTTGGGGGGAGGGGGAGAGCAAGTTGCACGTAGCAGAGATTCACAGCTCCATGTACAATCCTCATTATTCACTCTACTTTGTCTCTGAAAATGTTCATTTCAATGTAGTGTTTGTTAAGTTCATAGCAAATTTTTAAAAATTAAAGCCATTTAGGGGCAGCTAGGTGGTACAGTGGATAGAGCACTGGCCCTGAAGTCAGGAGTACCTGAGTTCAAATCTGGCCTCAGACCAAACACTTGACAATTACTAGCTGTGTGACCCTGGGCAAGTCACTTAACCCCAACTGCCTAAAAAAAAAAATTTAAAGCTGTTTAGTCTACTATGAGCTGGACATTGCAAATATAAGTATGGCATAGTCATTGCTATGAAGGAGCTTATAACAAACATTTATAAACATTTATTAAATGCCTAAAGTATATAAGTATATTTATAAACATTTATTAAATAACTAAAGTATATATCTAGGAACTGGGAATAACAGTGACAAAAACCAAAATAGTCCTTACCCTCAAGGAGCTTCCATTCTACTGGGGGAATTCAACAAGGGCACAGAGAAACAAATATAAAGCATATGCCAGGTAATACCAAGAAATTTCAAGAGGTTGGAGAGTTAATCATTGGGGAAGACAGGAGAAGCTTCCCGAGGGAGGTGACAACTGAGCTGAGCGTTTTATCTATGACTAAGAATAGTAATATAATATAACATTGTATCATATCATAATATGATAGAAGCAGCTAGGTGGGATAGCCAATAGAGCACTGGACCTGGAGACAGGAAGATTTTACTGCAAATCCAGCTTCAGCTACTTACAAGCTGTGTGCTGCCAGGTCAAGTCCTTTAACCCCTGTTTGACTCAGGTTCCTTAACTGTAAAATGTAAATGATAATAGCACTCTTCTCTCAAGGATGCTATGAGACAAGGTATTTGTAAAGCACCCAGGACAGTGCCTGGCACATGCTGCTATTCAGTCCTGTCTGACTCTTCGTGACCCCATTTGAGGTTTTCTTGGCAAAGATACCAGAGTGGTTTGCCATCTCCTTCTCTAGCCCATTTTATGGATGAGGAAACTGAGGTGAACAAGGTTAAATGACTTGACTAAGGTCACACAATTGGTATATGAGGCCAGATTTGAATTCAAGAAGATGAGTCTCCCTGCTTCAGGCTTGGCACTCTGTCCACTGTGCCACATAGCTGCCCCCTGGCCCATAAAAGGTGCTTAATAAATACTTGTTGGCTTCCCTCTTTCCTACTAAGAATAATAATTCACATTTCTATAATACTTTAAGGTTTATGAAGTACAGTCCTCACACTAGCCCAGTGAGGCAAGGTAAGATGTTTATAAAAATAACAATAATGGAAAAGCCTCAGCAGTGAAGTGGACCAGTTCAGCTCTATACCTATTTGTTTATCTGTTGTCTCCCTTTGAGGGGCCTCCCTGAGGCTTAGGACTAGGTGTTTTGGTTTTTTGGTTTGTTCATTTCATTTTGGGGTTTTTGCCTTTCTTTGTATCCCGGTTCGGAGCACAGTGCCTATGCTTAATAAATGCTTGCTGACTTATTGGCTATACCATCCTTTACTACTGAAGAAGCTTAAAGGAAAGCCACAAAGTGCTAGGAGAAATTCGGAGGGTGAAGTCACGTCAGGCCCTGCGGCTCCTAGACACCTGAGCGTAAAACAATCCTGCCGCACCCGGGAGTGGGGCACTCCTGGCCCGAGTCCGCTAGTCTGCAAGCTGAGGCAGCCCAGGGCAGCTGGGATGCTGGTACCTGAGAAGCGAGTCCAGCTTGGGAGACGCCCAGCCTCCCTCCGCATCCCCACCTCCCACCCCTGCCTGATGCCCACGGGCGCCCGCCCTGCCTCCTCAGTGAACTCAGATTCCAGTTCCCCATTGCTTCACTTCCGCCCCTGCCCCGCGCCAGCCCCACCTGCGGCACACCTGAGGCTGGCCAAAAATCCGAGCGGGAGGGGAGGAAATGGGAGGGGCGTCTGCCCGCTGTCAAGGCCATGTGCTGGGGCCCGGAGGGAGGGCGGAAGAGATGCTCTTTAAGAAGTGGGGGGTGGCCTAGACTCTCAGTACACTCCGCACCTGGCCGTGGAGCCCGCCTCAGTCCCCGGAGACCAGTTACAGCAGGAAAGCCTCAGGGAAAGCATCTCATCCGAGTTGGACCCAGGCAGCTGTTTCACAGGTAGCCTCCCAAATCACAGATTAATTAAGCCTTTGGGGTAATGAAATGGGGAAGGGGGGAAGAAGAAGTTCAGGTTATCCTGTTCTATCCGGTCACTTTCTTAATACTTTGCATCTTCTCCCATGTAAACTTCGAAGGGCTCTATAAATTATTATTAATATTATCATTATGATTATTATTTATTATTAATACTGTCATTATTATCATCATTATGATTATATCATCATCACCAGCCTGTTTTTGCTTTGAGACTAAAAGGAAAAGAAAGATTGTCAAGTCAACATGCATTTAATTTAAGTGCTTGCTTTATGGCAGGCACTGTAAGCCTGAGGTACAAAAAAAGGCAAAAAAAAAAAAACCCACAGTCCCTGATCTCAAGGAGCTCACAGTTTAATGGGGGGAGGGTGGGTCAAAGGTAAGATCTAGCCATTTCTGTGGAGAGTTAGTGTAGAGCCCTGATTCTGCCAATTGCTACTTGGAGGACATTGGAAAATCCCCAAGCCACTGAGTCAGAGGACCTGGGTTCACATCTGTGCTCTGAAATTGAATATCTGTGGGTCTTTGGGCAATTCCCTTAACCTCTCTGAGCCTCATTTTTATCATCTTTAAAAAATGAGGGGTTGGGGGAGAACTAGATGATGCCCAGGGTCTGAATTCTGTGATCCTATGAGCCCAGAGATGGACCACTCATGGCAGGAGATCCAGGCAGGATGTTGATGGAGACGTAGCTTCTAGGAACAAGAAAGGATTTGTCATCTGTGATCATAAAGTGGAAGGGGTCTTTGTTGTTGTTGTTCAGTTGTTTCAGTTGTGCCCAACTCTTCGTGGCCCCATTTGGGATTTTCTTGGTGAAGGTACTACAACGGTTTGCCATTTCCTTCTCCAGCTCATTTTAGAGACAAGAAAACTGAGGCAAACAGGGTTAAGTGACTTGCCCAGGGTCACACAGCTAATAAGTGTCTGAGGCCAGATTTGAACTCAGGAAAAGTCTTCCTGACTTCAGGTCTGGCGCTCTATCCACTTTGCCACTTTGCTGCCCCTTAAAGGGACCTTACTCCACCTTTCTCATTTTACAAAAAAGGAAACCATTCAGAGAGGAGAGGTGCCTTGCCCAATGCCACACGTTTAATAATTTGGCAGAGTTGAGATCTGAACCAAGGTCTTTTTGACTCTAAAGCTAGAATTCTTTCCATGAGTTCTTAACCCACACCCTTCCTTCAACAGGCTATACCATCTGGCACCTACTATATTTACCCTTCAGGGGCTATTACCTATGCTTCTGACTCATTATCTTTGTAAAAATCCCCTACCTCATTCCCCAGATCTATGGAGAGGGGCTCAGGCTGGGGAGTTGAGCACTCCTCCCTCTAGAATAAGTAGCTCTGACAGATGAAGGAGGGGGCTGGAGGACCCTAGCTGTGTTATGTGACTCCCCACCTACACAGAAAATTGTGATAGCCAGCCTTCCTTTTCCCTCTTAGATGTGTGAGACAGAGAACAAGAACACAGTGCTGAACCCTGAGAGAGATGGAAGAGACAGGGTCCAGACCAAAGCAGACTGACTGACTGATTTTCCCTACCCCAGGGAGTTCGGTGGGCAGCTAGGTGGCCCAGTGGATAGAGTGCTAGGCCTGAAGTTAGGAAGACCCATCTTCCTGAGTTCAAATCTGGCCTCAAAAAACTTACTAGCTGTGTGACCCTAGGCAAGTCACTCAACCCTGTTTGGCTCAGTTTCCTCACCTGTAAAATGAGCTGGAGAAGGAAATGGCAAATCAGTCCAGTATCTTTGCCGAGAAAACCCCAAATGGGGTCATGAAGTGTCAGACACAACTGAACATCAACTGACCTGACACCAAGAAGCTCTCAAGGTGTTGGGTGGGAGTCGAGGTAAAGAGAGACACAATCCCTTCAGGGTGGAGCCCCTGGGATTATTGCAGCCAGAGGTTCTAATAATTTTATTCAGTAACCGCACAAAGGAAGGAGAATTCAAAGAAGAGCTTGTTCTATCCCTGTGCCTGCCCTTGACACTCTCGGTGACTCAGATCATCTCTCTCTGTCTGATTTTCCCATTTCAAGAAAGAGAATGTTGGAGGGGTTGGAATATATACCTTGAGTCAAGTCTATGTGAAAGACTTCGTTTCATGGGGTTGCAGAATTGTTGGAATTCAAATTAGATCTTCTAGTCCAACTTCTTTATTTTACAGAAATAGGAGCTGGATCTGGGAGGGAGAATTCCCAGATCAGGAAACTCCCTCCACCAAATGAAGACCTTATAGTTTAAAGAGTTGCCTAGAGCAATAGTTCTCAATTTGGCCTCAGGACTCATTTACACCATCTGGCTCAAAAATTTCTCTCTTAAAATTACTGAGGACCCCAAGGAGTTTTTGTTTATGTGAGTTACAGAAATGACATCTTAATATTATCATGAAAATAGTTTTGACCACAAGGGCCCCCTGAAAGGGTCTTGGGAACACCACCCCCCGCCAGAGTTTGAAGACCACACTTTGAGTATTGTAAACCTAGAGCATGGACAAGTTGAGTGATTTGCTCAGAGTCACACAACCAGTAGGTATCTGAGACGGGATTTGAACCTAGGTCTTCCTCTCCACTCCATGTCTAGGCAGAGCTCTTGACACAACTCAAGGCAGTTGACCCATCCTCCCAGGAGGACAGAAGCTATGGCAGAGTTCATAACTGCCACTCCTTCAAGATGCATACTGGGAAGTGCTTTGAGATCTTGTCCTGACATATCAGAGAGACTTGAGCATAATCATGGAAAAATCATCTCCCAGTATCCTCATGCCCTGAGCCTAGGTAGTGGGAAGGAGACCTCGAAGGCTCCTTCCCATTTCCATTTATGGACATCCTCCAAGATGCGGCCTTAGCAGCCTGAGTCCCCGTGACACCTTGGGAGCAGCACGGCTGGCCCTGTCAAGGTACATTCATCCTCCTGTTCCTTCTTCCCCTAATCAATTCTAGAAACACAACAACCTCCTCCCAGCTTTCTGGCAATAATGATTGCCCTCATTGCCGTAGCAAGATGACAGGAGTTTCCGAGCAACCCAGACCCATCCTAGTGTGAATCAGGAAAATGGATCCCAGCCAATCATAGCAGCCAAAAAGCAGTCTGGACTGAAGCCAAACAAAAGCCAGGCCTCTGTTTCTTCATGTGAAAGGCAAAAGAGAAGGAGGAGAAGGAGAAGGAGGAGAAAGGGAGAGAGAGAGAGAGAGAGGGAAGAGAGAAAGAAAGAAGGGAGGAAAGAGATAAAAAAGAGAGAAAAGGAAAGAGAAAGAAGGAAGAAAGAAGGAAAGAAAAAAAGAAGGAAGGAAGGGAAGAAAAAAGAAAGAACAAAGGAAAGAAAGCAGGAAGGAAGAGAGGAAAGAAGAAAGGAAGGAAAGAGGAAGGAAGGGAAAAAAGGAAGGGAAGTGAAAAGAAGGAAAGGAAGAAAAAAGAAAGAAGGAAAGAGAAGAAGGAAGAGAGGAAGAAAGAAAGAGAGAGAGAGAAAGACTGGGGAACAGAAGCTCTCACCCCAGATGAGAGAAAAAGCTTATGAAGTAGCCAGAGTCAAGAAATCTGCATCCAAAACCCTTCCTCTGTCACTGGAGCTATGTGACCCTGAATAAACCACTTCTGTTCCCCCAGTCTCCATTTTCTCATCTGTAAAATGGGGTTAATAATCTCTTTGGTGCCTATCTCACAAGGTTGTTGTGAGGCACCAATGAGAGAATAATAAGTTTCCTTTAAAACTTGTTCACCCACCACCTCCTAAAGGAAGTCTGCCCTGTTGCCCCGGAGTACAGCACCCTCTCTCTAGAATCCTCTTTGCATATCTTTTGTATTTAATTTTCTATGTATGTGTTGCTTCCCCGATAAAAGAAGATAATTCTGAACTATAAGTGTGGAACGTGGCATAGAATGCTAGACTTTTGCAGCGGGTGGGTTCACTTTGCTGACTTGTTTCCTTTTTCCCCTCTCATTTCTACTTGACCTTCTAGAAGATCTGAAAGGCAGCAAAGGGAGGCAGATAGAGAGCCAGCCTCAGAGCTGGGAAGGCTGATTTCAGGTCCTGCCTCGGACAGCTCCTGGCTAGGTGACCCTGGGTAACTTCTCTGACCTCTCAGATCTCCGAAACTCTAAGGTGCAGAGAAAATACTGACTTGCATTGGAAGAGGAAGACCCAGGGTTGGATTTTGAATCTCATACCAATGAAATGGCAGATCCAGTCCCCATCCAGAAAAGATAGCTCTCTTCAAGGCAGTGTGGCCCAAAGTATAGAACACTGGACCAGGAGTCAGGAAGACCTGAATTAACGATCAGGCTAACCTCTGCTATCCTCAGTTTCCTCATCTGTAAAATGGGGATAATAATAGCACCTATCTCTCAGAGTTGTAAGGATAAATGAGATAGTATTTTTAAGGTATTTTGTAAACCGTAAAACTTTATATAAATACTAATTATTATATAAAAACAAAAGATATACCTCTCTGAGAGCAAGGACTATTTCTGTTGTGCCTTTATATCCCCAGAGCTCACCACAGTGCCTGGCACATAGTAGGTATGCAATAAATACTGATTGAATTGAATTGAGTGATGCATGTAAAGTGCTTCGCAAACTTTCAAGTTGATCCTCTATGTAAATGTTGCTTATTATTAACAAGGAGTCCAAAGGCCTTGGGAGTCAAAAGATCCACTATCTATGCATGTCATCCTGGGAAAATCTCTACCCCTCCCTAAGCCTCAGTTTCCACAATCGGCAGAATGAGGAGGTTAGATTCAATCTCTACAACAACCCTCTGAGGTAGGTGCTACACATTGCTGTTGTTTAATCATGTCTGACTCTTCATGACCCCGTGGACCATACTGTCCATGTTTTCTCGGCAAAGTTACTGTATTGATTTACCATTTTCTTCTTCAGTGGATTAAGACAAACAGAGGTTAAGTGACTTGCCCAAGGTCACACAGCTAGTAAGTGTCTGAGGCTGGATTTGAACTGAGGTCTTCCTGATTCCAGGCCTATCACTCTATCCCCTGAGCTATCTAGCTGCCCGAGGGACTCTATAGGTGATACTATCCCCATTTTATGGATTTGGTAATCGAGATTCAGAGAGGTTAAGTTTCTTTCCCAGGATCACACAGGTAAGAAGCCTTCAGAGCTAGCATCAGACCTAGATTTCTTAACTCCCAGTCCAGGACTCTTTCCACTTCATACCATGTTGCTTCTCTCAAGGCATGTTAACTTAACCCTAGAATACTGGTTTCATTCATCCCCCTGCCTGTGAGCAAGATTACATTAGACACCCCTCAGATCAGCAGTTTTTAATTTGGGATCCATTGACTCTCAGAAATATATGGATAGATTTCAAAGGATCTGCAAACTTGGGGGAAAAAATTACATCTTTATTTCAATAAAATTGGTTTCTTTGTAATCCTGTGTATTTTATTTTATGCATTTAAAAACATGATTCTGGGAAGGGGCCCATAGGTTTCACCAGACTGCCCAAGGAATACAAGACACAAAAAAGGTTAAGGACCCCTGCCCCAGAGCTCTCAGCATGACACTTCATTTCCTCCTTACTCTAGGGATAATCTGAAGATATCAGCGATGCCCAGGAAACCTTAGGGAAACTGTCATGGAGGGGCCTGAATTCTGAGAGCCCAGTGGTCTGAGCGCCTGGGAACCGAGTGTTTCCAAATGATCCAGCCTAATCTATTCTTGTTCCTTGCCTATTCCAGGTCTCCTTGGGCACTTGAAGCTAAGGATTACCTCCTGGTCGAGACTGGAACAAGGACTCAAGGAGGGTGACTTGAGAACAAAGGGTGAACCTCAGGCCACAGGTCTACACTGACCATGTCCCAAGTGATGTCCAGCCAGATGCTGAGAGCAGGCCATACTGTCTGTGTAGGCCCTCAAGAGGAGACCAGGAACAGCTTTCTTCCCGCCCGGAACACTAACCTGGCTCCCCATTGTCCATACTATACCACTGAAGGCTGGGGAGCCCAGGTCCTGATGGCCCCCACACACGGCAAGGGGCAGTCACTCCCCAGCCGGGGCAACTGTGTCCTGAGCCTCCAAGCCCCTGGAGCAGGACAGGCAGCACCAACAGTAACTAAGTCGAATTGCCTCCCCCAGCCCAGAGTACAGCAGGATACAGGCTGGACTGATGAACGGGCTTCCTCCATTGGCTTCTCCCTGGAGAGCCTCAACCAGATGATCCTTGAACTTGATCCTAACTTTGAGCTTCTGCCTTCAGGGGCAGAAGGCCTCAGAGCAGACCCAGCTCCAACCCCCAATGCCACAGTATCAAGGAGCAAAAAAGAAGACCCAGAAGTATTGGGTAAGAATGCTGGGGAAAGGGAGGTGAAGAGCAAGACCATGGCTAAGGAGAGGGTTTCTAAACCTGGGGTCTGCAGATTAAAAAAAAAATTTGATAACTACATTTCATTATAATTGGTTTCCTGTGTATTTTAAAAATACTGTTCTGAGAAGGGAGACCCAGGCTTCACCAGACCACCAAAGGGGGCCTTTGCACAAAAAATGGCATGCCCAGGGCATGTTGAATAGGAAGAAGGAAACAAACATTTATGAAGAAGTTACTATATGCTAGGCACTGTGCTGAGCACAGACATTATCTCCTTTGATCCTCACAACAAACCTGAGAGGAAGATGCTATTATTATCCTCATTTTACAGATGGGGAAACTGAAGCAAGCAGCAGTTAAGTGACTTGCCCAGGGTCACACAACTAATAAGTGTCTGGGGCGGGATTTGAACTCAGGTGTTCCTGACTCTAGGCCTAGTGCTTTATCCACTAAGCCATCTAACTGCCTCTAAATAAAACAGGATGATTTTGTACCTGGTCATGAGGAACAAGGGACCCTGTCCTGCCACCAGGAAGAGAGATTTCTCTCAGAGCAGCCCTAGATGTGAAGTCAGAGGACCGGGGTTCCGATCTCAGTACTGCCACTGACTATGCATGTGACCTCCGCCAAGGCACTAACTCTACTCTGAGCCTCTGTTTCCCCACCTATAAAATGAGGTGGTTGGACTTGATCAGAGGTTATACCTTTTTTTTGTGTCATGGACCCCTATGGTGGCCTTTGGGTCCCTTCTCAGAAGAATGTTTTTAAATGCATATAATAAAATACATAGGATTACAAAGGAAACTAATTCTATTGAAATTCAGTCATCAAAAGGCTTAAAAACAACAACAGTAAGTTCACAGACCCCTGGTTAGATGACCTCTCATGTTCCTCCCAAGTCTAAGATTATATGATGTAGCCTAGGAGATGGGGACGTCTGGGGTGGGATGAGGGGGCATCCCAATGATCAGGACCCTCCAAAGCCCTTCTCCTCTTCTCTACCACCACCCCCCCAGTTAGGGCTGAATCTTACAGAGTTGAGCTGATCCATGCTAAAACCACATCTTTGAATCTGGCTTCCTTTATCAGTTGAAACCTTGACCAAGAGGTCCTCAGTGTTCCTCTGAACTCTAAGTAAGGCACTCTCAGTCCACCTGAAGGACTCGGGGAGACCTCTGGAGTATGAGGGTCAAGGAGCATCCATTCCACCATACACATGAGGATATCAAACTCTAAGGGGCAGCTAGGTGGCCCAGTGGATAGAGTGCAGGGCCTGGAGTCAGGAGGACCTTAGTTCAAATCCAGCCTGAGACACTTACTAGCTGTGTGATCAGGGGCAAGTCACTTAACCCTGTTTGCCTTAATTTCCTCATCTGTAAAATGAGCTGGAAAAGGAAATGGCAAACTACTCTAGTATTTTTGCCAAGGAAAACCCCAAATCAGGTCACAGAGAATCAGGTACAGCTGAACAAAAACAACAAATCAAAGCCTAACACCTGGGTGAGATTAGGGTTAGAGTTACAAGAGGGTTGTTAATATTAGAGAAAGGACCTGAGAATTTAGGGTTAGAAAGGCTTAAATATCCCATCATCCTCATTAACAGAGGAAACTGTGGCCCAGGGAAGTAAGTAAGCAAGTATGATTTGCCCCCATTCAGGGTTAGGTGAGGGTCAATGGTAGGAATGAAGTTAAGAGTTAACAGGAAAATTAGAAATGGAATCAGTGTTAGGGTTGGGCCAGGTTGAGGTTCAGGTAAGTCTTAACCCCAGATTTTGTCTCCAATTAATTTTCATTCCTTTCTTAAAAGGCTTTTTATTTTTATTTTCATAATATTGTGGGCCATCTTGACTTTTTTCTTGCCACTACACTCCAAAGACCCTGGAGGAGAGAGTGAGGCTGATGACTGAGTAGCTCTGCCTCACTTAAATCCCATTCACTCACATGTCAAGACATCGCCCTTGTGATGTCATTAATCCTCTTGGAGAAGGAAGAACAACAACCCCAGATTTAACTCTGACTCTAAAAGTTAAAGTTAGCGTTTAACATGGAGATTAAGGCCTCTCCTTATCTCTCCTACCTGCCCCTCAGACTTGGGCCACCTTCCATACCAGTTATGAAAATTATAATTATCTCTCTAGTGGTCATTACTGCTTGTTAGGGCCAGTTGGGAATGATGAGTTGCTTAAGAGAGGGAGCTTAGGGGCTAATTACTGTTAATAGAGTCAAACTATTTTAATAGAAGTTATTAATGACATTAGGTGGGTGTTTTATACACCCTATGGGGAGCTTTAATGGACATGGATAACCTTCGAAACCTCTTGGCAGGGAAGACTACTGCTATGTCCTCTCCCCCCATCCCCATACCCTGGGGCCTCTGAGCTCAAAGGAAACCTAGTTACTCCTCTTGAGAAGGTAAGGCTGGGAGTTACGAGGAGTCAGGGATCTTTAGCTTCCACTGGGGAAATGGATTAAGTGGAAGAGAAGACAGCAGAATGGGAAAGGGACCTCAGAGGCCAGTTAATTCAACCCAAATCTGATTAAGAAACTTGTTGGGGCAGCTGGGTAGTGCAGTGGATAGAGCACTGGCCCTGGAGTCAGAAGGAATTGAGTTCAAATCCAGCCTCAGACACTTACTAACTGTGTTACCCTGGGCAAGCCAGGAAAGAAAGAAAGAAAAAAAGAAAAGTTCTCCCCAATATTTTGAACAAGTGATCACCCAGCCTCTTCTTGAAGGCCTAAAATGAAAGGGAACTCATTACCTCCCAAGCAGCCCATTCCACTTTTGGATGGCTCTCACTGTTAGGAACTGTTTTTAATTCCATCACACCTAACTCTACCTCTCTATAAAATCTACCCATTACTCTTAGATCTTGTCTCCTCTAGAGCCAAGCAGAGAATAAACCTAATAGGCCCCTAGATTTAGAGATAGAAAGGGATCAAGAGGCCAGTTAATCCATCTCCTTCATTTTACAAATGAGAAACTGAGACTCAGGGTATTTTAGAGACTTGCCCAATGTCACATAACTACTAAGTGTCTGAGGCAGAGTTTGAACCCAGGTCTTCCTAATTTCAAGTCCATCATTCTAGCCCCTGTACCAAGTGGTTTGTTCTTTTTTTATGTATGACTGCCCTTCAAATACTCAATGACAGCTATGATGTCCCCTCTCCCATCCTCCTCCCAAGCCCTTCTATCCTCCACTATCTCTCAGAGTCTATCCAAGTCCATGTTCACTGTTTCCATGACACTATCTATCCATCTCATCCTCTACCATCCCCCTCTCCTTTTGCCTTCAATCTTTCCCAACATCAGGGTCTTTTCCAATGAGTCCTATCTTTTCATTATGTGGCCAATGTATTTAGGCTTTAGCTTCGGTATTTGATCTCCCAGTGAATAGCCTAAATTAATTTCTTTCAGCATTAATTGATTTGATCTCTTTGCTGTCCAAGGGACTCTCAAAAGTCTTCTCCAGGGGCAGCTAGGTTGCACAGTGGATAGAGATCCAACCTTGGAGTCAGGAAAACCTGAGTTCAAATCCAGCCTCAGACACTAGACACTTACTAGCTGTGTGACCCTGGACAAGTCACTTAACCCCAATTGCCTCACCAAAAAAAGCCAAAAAAAAAAAAAAAGTCTTCTCCGGTACCACGATTCAAAATCGTCAATACTGGGACGATCAGCTTTCCTTATAGTCCAACTCTCACAGCCATACATTGCTACTGGAAAAATCATAGCTTTGACTATGCAGACCTTTGACAGCAAGGTGATGTCTCTGCTTTTCAGTACGCTCTCCAGATTTGCCATAGCTTTCCTTCTAAGGAACAAGCGTCTTTTAATTTCATGGCTATAGACATCATCAGCAGTGATCGTTGAGCCCGAGAATATAAAATCTGACACCATTTCCATTTCTTCTCCCTCTGTTTGCCAGGAAGTGATGGACCAGTTGCTAAGATCTTAGTTTTTTTGATGTTAAGCTTCAAGCCAGCTTTTACACTCTCCTCTTTCACCCTTGTCAAGAGGCTTCTTAATTCTTCTCACTTTTTGCCATCAGAGTGGTATCATCTGAATATCTGAAACTGTTGATATTTCTCCCAGTAATTTCAATTCTGGCTTTTGATTCTAGCCTAGCATTTCACATGGGACCTTCCTCATAGGACCTTATTAGCAAATCCTTTATATCCTGGTCACTTTCCTCTGGATGAATTCAAACTTGTCCATTTTCACAGAATATTGGACTTGGAAAGGATGAATACTATTAACTTAGTGATCTTGGGCAAATCACTTGACCTACCAGGCCTCAATTTCCTCACCTGTAAAATGAGGAGGTTGGACTCAAGTCCCGTCCAACTCTGGATCAATGACCCTTTTTCCACTCATTAAATTTCATCTGATTCAATTCCATCCAACCTTCTATCCTGTCAAGATCTTTTTTTAGAGTCTGTGTCTATCACCCAGCTTTGAGCCATTTGTCTTAAAATGTGATGCCCAGAGCTAAGCAATTCCTTCTAAGGATGTTGCCATATTTCACTTTCCAACATTTTTCTCCCAGGTAAATGCTTGTCCACAGTAAAGGGCTTTTAGTTTTAATAACCCACCATCACCCCTTCCCTCCACCCTGCCTGCTCCTGCCCTTGGCACCTGGCAAATGACCCAATGCTGGGCTCAGACTTGCCCATTAGTAACTGGCTGCGTGGGTGCCCTGCGGGTTCATTTTGTTTGTCCTGATAAACAAGAACCACACCTTGGTTATGGGAGCAGAGAGAATCCACTGTGTTCTTCCACTCCCAACCATATCTACCTCCTGATAGCTATAGGACAGTGACTCAGTCTCCCTCTCCACCTTCCCTTCCAGTAGTACTCTTCCCCAATCCCTGCTCTCTTTCCACCCTGTAAAGCTGGTAGGGTTCCAGAAACAAAGCCAAAGGTAGGAATGGTACCAGGAGAAATTTTCCAAAGCTGCCTGATGGACCCCCACAACGCTAGACTATTGGGCAGTGTCCAGGGTTAACAGCTGGCCCTTACTCCTAGAAAAGAACAAATAAGGCAGGTTCCTCCCAATAGATATACCTACCTTCCCCAACCCCAGGCAGAGGCCTTATGGTATTCTAAAAAAGTCTAGCTCAGAATGAAACATTAAGTGCTTACTATGTGCCAAGTACTGTGCTTCCTTCCTTATATTCTAGCAATCTCAAAGCACTTTCCTCCCTAGCCTTCATTCCTTTTAGCAGTGGGAATCCCACTCTAGCTGAAGGACAGGCAGAAGGACACAGGCTGAGCACCTCCTGTCAATACCCACCCAAAAAGTCTAGACCAAGCCCATCCCTTGACTCTCCACCTGACGTAAGTCCCACCATCATCACCATCCCCTCCTGGCAAGGCAAGGTCTTAATGAGCAGGTAAGGACAGAGCCAGAACTGCTGTGCAGTGACCAGATAATGGGCCCCACCCTACTACAGGCTGCTACATGCACAAGCTTTGCAGTCATTACCAGGGGCCCACATGCAGGAGCCAGTGATGGTTCTGGGAGGGTCAGAACCAGAGAAGTGTGACAGGAAAAGGAAATAGATATGGCAGGACTCAGTGATGCTCCAAAAAAAAGGAGCACCCATGCTAACATGTCCAGGATAGTACAAAGAAACAGATTCCCCTTACCTGAAGGGCAGGTGGGGGGACGGGGAGGGATAGGGGGAGAGAGAGAAGGAGCAGGAAGTAAACCATATATCCAAGGCCCTGGGTTGAAGGACATGGATCACAAGATTTAGAGCCAGGAGTGATCTTAGACATCATCTTCTAGGCCAATACACTATTTTTACAGATAAGCCAACCAGACCTCAGAGAAATTAAATAATATATCCAAGGTTACCCAGCCAGTGTTAGAGCCAGATTTCAAGCCTGGCTCTCCTGAATCAAGTTCTTCTGCTCCAGGCCCGCTCCAGGCCCACTCCAGGACTAGGCATGGGGATGGTAGAACAGAGAGAAGGAATAGCAATGGCCTTGCCTCATGATTGTCCAGAGGAGTGTGGGGAGAAGGTTCCTACATTGGTAGCAACTCCTAAGAATCCAGCTCAAGTTCTTTCTTCTAGAAAGAACCCTCTCTTCTAGAGAGGTTCCAGTCAGAGCACAGATGCTAACATAGTGTGAGGTAGGGAACCAAAAGGTCTCAGAAGGCCTGAAGCTCAAGAGAATCCATGTGGAGTGGAGAAGGAGGGAATTCCAGAGAGAAAGTGTCTGTTCCTGCTGGCCTGGGGCTCCCACACTCAAGTGGGGCTAAGAATTTGGGAAGCAAGGGGCAGTTAGGTGGCACAGTAGATATAGCATCGGCCGTAGAGTCAGGAGGACCTGAGTTCAAATGCGGCCTCAGACACATAACACTTACAACTGTGTGACCCTGGGCATGTTGTCCTTGACAATAATGTCCTTGACTTTCTTCTTCTCTCTCCACAAGATATCAAGTATATTGAGGTGACATCTGCCAAATCAAGGTGCCAGGAACCGCCTCAGCGCTGTGCCAGCCCCTCAGTCATCCCTTCCTGGGGATCACCTCTCAGTGGCGGCATCCTCCTCTGCAGAGACACCCCCCGTGAAAAGAGTGCCAGCAGCGAGAGCCTCATTTTTTCTGGGAACCAGCACAGGGAACATCACCACCTGCATCAGCCTCCACCCCCGGTGGGACAGCGGCCATCTCATCACTTGTCTTCCCCTGGTATCGCCATTCCCCACCCCAAGAACAAGAACGCTGGTCCTCAGAGTGACAGCTTCCTCCTGGAAGCTTCTCCAGGCTCAGGAGCAATGTCGAGGCCCTCGCCGGGGAGCTGGGCACTGCAGAGAGGTAGTGGGGCTTCTCTGTTGTCCAGCAGCCCAGGCTCTGACACCAGCTATGTGTTTGGCAGGTACATCCATTTTTGCTTTGCTCCCCCTCCCTTCCTAGTGACCAAACCAGCCTCTACTCAGGACTGTTGGCAGAATGATCCATAGGTGTGCCTCACTTTAAGCAGAAAACCTGTGAATGGTATTTTTCTCTCAAGATGAATTAAGGGCTCTTCACTTTACAAATGAATTCATTTAAATAAGGAGGTCGTGTGTTTAATTAAAATGGGATTCTGTTTATGAAAATCTTACCTACTTCATAACACTTCAAGGAGAAATCTACTGAGGAAGACCACGCCAATATGCTTGTCCACATTTTACAAATGAGGAAATTGAGTCTTTGAGAAGTTAGGTGACATATTCATGGGCCTATAGCTAACCTGACTAGGGTCTGAGATAGGAGTCAAACCCCAAATCTTGCCTTCAAATGAAGCGTTCTTTCCACCTCACCATGATACTATATTAAGAATTTGTCAAACAAAATGCATTATTTTAAAGTCTACACCTTCTTTTTGTGGTTGTTCAGTTGTTTCAGTCATGTCAGACTCTTTGTGACCCCATTTGGGGTTTTCTTGGCAAAGATACTGGAGTGTTTTGCCATTTCCTTGTCCAGCTCATTTTACAGATGAGGAAACTGAGACAAACAGGGTGAAGTGACTTGCCTAGGGTCACACAGCTAGTAAGTATCTGAGGCTGGATTTGAACTCAGGTCTTCCTGACTCCAGGCTGATTGTCCTAACCATTATACCACCTAGCTGCCCCAAGCCCTCTAAGTACATGCAAAAAATACTCTTAGAAAACCCTTAAAGAAAGAAGAAATTTAAAAGGAAGCAAAGCATTATGCTTTCTGGATTTTCCCTTACTACAGTCCCTTTATTTTCATCCACTTTAGGGATTTGCCAGTTTGCTTTTTATCTTGCAGCCCCAAGCTGGGAACATGTTAGAAAGAGATCATAGTCATAGGCTCGTAAATATATAGACAGAGCTGGAAGGGACCTTGGAGACCATTTACTCCATCTTCCTCAGTTTACAAATAAGGAAACTGAGGCTCAGGCAAGTTAAGCAACTTACCCAAGATCATACAAGTAACACAGTGCTGGATTTGGAGTCAGGATGACCTGAATTTAAATCCTGACTCGGATATATCCCAGTCCTCCTTAAGCTTAAAGCCTCCCTTCTGAGACTACCCCCAATTCATCCTGCCCTGTTTGTACATCATCTCCCTCATTAGACTGTAATGAGCAGGGATTGGGTTTTTTTTGCCTTTCTTTTACTCCCCAGTGGTTTTCACAGTATCCGGTATAAAGAAAGTGCCAAACATATGCTTATGGACTGACTGACTGAATGTGCAGGTGACTTAATTTGGCTTGCCTCGGTTTCCTCATCTGTAAAACGAGGGGGCCAGTCTCAGTGGCCTCAAAGGTCCTTTCCAGCTTTAGATCTTGGATCCTGTGAACATATGCTTTAAGCATGTAAGCAAAGAGGACCTTCTCCCCAACCACAAACCACAGGGCTCTCTTCAGCTGTGGGGGCAATAGGGTATAGGGATGGCTGCAGAATGATGTCCAGTCTGGGACACGCTGACTGGAACCTGATTGTGGAGTTGCTTTCACATCGGTGCAACTGGGTTAAGCCATCAACAGCATATAAGAAACAGTGTGGCAAAGTGAATATTCTAGATTTGGAATCAGGAAGTCCTGGGTTCAAATCCTGCCTTTCACACTTACTAGCTGTGTGACTCTGGACAGCTCACTTAACCTCTTAAGCCCTATTTCCTTATCTATAAAAGAGATATAATCAGATCTGAAGTACCTAACTCAGGGGGGGATGTAAAGTTCAAATTAGATAATCATGTATAGCATAGCAGTCATAAAGTAGTCTGGAGGCTGTCCCAAAAGTCTTAGTGCAGTTTTAAGCTCTACTAGCTTAATAATAATTGCTGTTAGAGCTCCTACAAGGGATTTTAGGTCATCCAGGCCAACCCTTTTATTACATTAGCAAAGAAACTGAGGACCAGAGACATTAAGTGACTTGCCCAAAGTCATATATCTGGTTAGTGGCAAAGGCCATATTTGAACTCCGGTCTTCTGACACCAAGGACTAGGGATACAGATCACATGGCATCTCAGAATTGGAAGGTCATCTAGTCCAATCTGAACCTGATCAAAAAATCATTCTATAATATCCTCAGAGTCCTTTAATGAAGGGGAAAGGAACCCTGGCTACCTCCCAAAAAGGCCCGTTACACTTTTGAGTATTTCTAATTGCTAGGAATTCTTTTTCCTTACATCAAGCCAAATCTGCGCCTCTAGCATGTCCACCCATTCTGGCTAGTTCTTCCATCTGGGGACAAGCGGAGTAAGGCAGATCCCCTTCTCTGTGAAAAACCATCCAAATACCTAATCCACGAAATCATTGCCTTTTCCCTGTCCCCTCTCTCCCAAGCTCTTCTCTCCTCCATTCACCTAAACACCCCTCATTCCTTCGATCAATATTCCTCTAACATTCATTCATTCAATAAATATTTATTAAGCACCTACTGTGTGCCAGACACTATGCTAAACTCTGAGAATACAAAAAGAGGCAAAAGACAGCCCCTACCCTCAAGAAGCTTACAGTCTAATGAGGGAGACGTGCAAACAAATATTTGCAAAGCAAGCTATGTACAGGATAAACAGGAAATAATTAAAAGAGGGAAAATCCTGGAATTAAGCGGGCTTGGGGAAGGCTTCTTGTTGAACGTTGGATTTTAATTGAGGCTTAAAGGAAGCCAGAGAGGTCAATAGTTGGATCAGGCCATTTTCTGTCCTAAATACTCTCCTTTCAACATTCTCCAGTTAAGTAATGTCCTTGCTAAACTGGGGTGCCTGCAGTGCTCCAAATGTAGTCCAGCCATGGCAGACGACAGCAGGATTGTTATCTACCTCCCTTATTCTGGGCTCTTTATCACTCTTAATGTTGTCTAAGATCTGATTGGTTTTCTTGGCTACACATCATTCTGTTGGTTCCTATTGAGATTGTAATCCACTATGCTATCCTAGAGGCTGAGAGCAGTTGGCCTGAGCCCAATCACTGATTTCTTTAAGTTTGGGTCAATCGCTGCTCAAACAGAACTCCCTAAGTACTAGTTAGAATCAAGAGGGAAGTGGGGCAAAGGAGAGGGAAGGCACAGGATGGGGAGGATGCTAGGAAAGAAGATTGAATGATAAAGAAATTATATGCCAGTCATATATGGCTAAGTATCTTTGGGAGAGATTCAACATTTATTTATTTATTTATTTTAAACAAACATTTATTAAGCACCTACTATATGCCAGACATTATTTGTTTGATCCTCACAACAACCCTGGGAGATAGGTGCTGTTATTATTACCATTTTACAATTGAGGAAACTGAAGCAGGCAGAGGTTAAACAATTTGCCCTGGGTCGCACAGCTAATTAAGTGTCTGTGTTGAACTCAAGTCTTTCTGACTCCAGTCCCAGTATCCTATGCACTGCACTTTCTAGCAGTTCCATTTAATTGGGCTGACCCTTTGCTTAGAACAGGAGTTCTTAATCTGGGGTCCATGAACATGTTGTGGTTTTTTTTTAATAATATTTATATTCCCCCAATTATATGTAAGAACAATTTTTAACATTCTTTCTTTTTAAGTTTTGAGTTCCAAATTCTATCCCTCCCTCCCTTCTCCCCTCCCTGAGACAATAAGCAATCTGAAACAGGTTACGCATGTGCAATCATGTAAAATGTTTCCATATTAGTCATTTTATACAAGAAGAAAGGAAGGAAGGAGAAAAAGAAAAAGAAAGAAGGAAAGAAAGAAAGAGAAAGAAAGAAAGCTTCAGTCTGTATTCAGACAACATCAGTTCTTTCTCTGGAGGATAGCATTTCTCATCCTGAGTCCTTTGGGATTGTCTTGGATCATTGAGAATTGCTAAGTCATTCACAATTCTTCATCATACCGTATTACTGTTACTGTGCACAACATTCTCCTGATTCTGCTTACTTCACAGTTTATGTAAATCTTTCCAGGTTTTCATGAACTTGTTTTTTAAAAAATAGTTGGATAACTGTTTTAGCATAATTGGTTTCCTTTATAATCCTATGTATTGGAGGCAGCTAGGTGGCGCAGTGGATAGAGAACCGGCCCTGGAGTCAGGAGGACCTAAGCTCAAATCTGGCCTCAGACCAAACACTTGACACTTACTAGCTGTGTGACCCTGGGCAAGTCACTTAACCCCAATTGCCTCACAAAAAAAATAATAATAATAATCCTATGTATTTCATTTTATGCATTTAAGAACATTCTTTGAAGAAGGAAGTCTAATGGTTAAAAAACCCTGACTTAGAGGGTTGCCAAGCTGCACTTAATCAAACCCAACTGTGAAGTCAGACAGTCAACAATCATTTAGTAAGCACTTATTGTGCCAGGCACTGTGCTTAGGGCACAACAGCTAGTGCCTGGGATGGAGAATGTGCCCTTCAGGGACATCATATCAACCTGTCTTCTCTCTTTCTCTACAGCAGCCAGTCTCTACTTCCCACCACCACTTCCAGTCACCAGCCTGCCTACAAGTCCCCAGAATGCGCCAGAGGCTCTTCCTCCAGCATCCACAACCCTAGCACCTCATCTCCCAGTGGGAGACCCAGCTACTTCCACCTCCAGAGCCCTGACTCAGCACTCACACCACCGGTCTCCACCTTGGGCCAGCCTGCTGGCTCACACTCACCTCCACTGCAGAAGGAACATGCCAGCAGCTGCCCCCCTTCCATTGCTAATTCCATGGTGGACATCCCCATTGTGCTGATCAATGGCTGCCCGGAACCAGGCCCTGCCTCCCCACAGCCTCCTCACAGACATCACAGCTTTGTCCGGCCCATGGTTGACACTCCCAGCAACCCCTATGCAGCCCTCAGCAGCCACAGCAAGACCCCCTCCGATGCCTCCCTTGCTTCCTCCTCAGAGGGTTAGTTTCCATCTTCCAAATTATCAACATTGATTGAGCTCCTTCTGGGTGCTAAGCTTTAATCTAGTATAGAAGAGGATATTAGGCAATATAAGATATGGCCCCTGCCCTTTCCTTATCCACTAAAAATCTCATTCTCTTATTCCCTTTATCTGGAAATTCCCTCAATGAAGAGGGGCTCAAAGCTCCTAAGGGCTGGATCCTAATCTAGAGCTGGGAGGAAGCAGAGGTTAACTAGTCCAACCCCTTCATTTTATAGATGAAGGGGGAGAGGAAATAAGCATTTTTAAGCACGTACTATGTGCCAGACACTGTGCTAAGTGCTTTACTAAGGCACAGAAAGAACCTCCCTGTGAGTAGTCCAAGGTTACATAGATAAGGGTTTTTGCGTCTTGTATCCTCAGAGCTAACACAATGTCTGGTATATAGTAGGTAGGCGTTTGTTAAATGTTTATTGAATGAATGAACGTCATATAGCTTTAGGACTTGAAGGAACCTTAGAAGTCATCTAGGCCTACCCCTTCATTTTATAAATAAGGAAACTAAAACTCAGAGTGGTTATATGACTGGCCCAAAGTTACATAGGTAGTAACTGGCAGAACTGGGATTTGAGCCCAGATTCTGTGACTTCAAATCCTGTGCTCTTTTCACTATGGTAGGCTGCTTCCAGAGTTTGCTAAACCCTCAAGTTCTCAAGTTTAGTTCTACGTCAAGTCATGGAATCTCCAATTCATAGGATCATAGAAATAAAACTGAAAGGACCAAATTGAGGACCATGCAAGCTAAATTACCTATGTGCCTAAAGTCATATAGGTAACAAGCATCAGAAACAGGATTTGAACTCAGGTCCTCTCACTTCACAATCCATTGTTCTTTCTACTGTTTGATATTGCCTTCAGCGTTCCCTTAACCCCGTGGTTCCCAGGCCTAGTTTCATGTTACCCTGGGCAGCTCCAGTTTTTTCCCAGAGATATCAAATTTTTCAAAAATCTTCCAAATCCATTTCCTTTTAATTTTATAGACCTCCATGGCTGGAAGGGACTTCATAGACCATCTAATCTAAGCCCCTCATTTTACAGATGAGGAAACTGAAGCCCAGAAAAGGAAGTGATTTGCCACAGGGCCACGTACAAAATTAATGAAGAGTCAGTCATAGAATTCAGGTCTACTGACTCCTAGTCAAATATCCTTTCTACTAGGGCATATTGCTTGCCCTTAAAAAGTTAAATATGTCATATGGAAATTTTAGAAGTAGGGAGGGAATGGGCCGTGAAATTGAACAGATTCAGGCAGAGCAGTGCCACAAATCTACGGGATGATTTTATCTTTTTAATTGAATTTTTACCAATTTGATTTTGATTAATTGCCAGGATTATCGCAGGTTTCATGACATTAAGGGCTAGAGAAGACCTTAAGCACGTCCTAGGTACCAGACACTGTGCTAGGCATTGGAGATACAAAAACAAAAACTAAATGGTCCCTACCCTCAAGGAACTTACATTCGACTTCAAAATAGATAACCCCTCATCTTACTGATGAAGAAACTAATGGCCACAAAGGTTAAATGGGTAAAGGAGTCTACAAATTCAGAGATACCCATACCCTAGAAACCTTTCATTTGGGTCTGTTTGAAGATGCTATGAACAGAAAATGTAGGAAGGCATTGTCATGGTCAGTTCAGCAGGGCAGGGGTACATCCTACAAGGATCTTCTCTTCCATGTCCCATTTCAGGTCCCAGCAGAGACAGTCCACCACCAACCATGAAGTTTGTAATGGACACATCCAAGTACTGGTTTAAACCAAGCATCACCCGGGATCAAGGTAATGTGCATACTCTCTGAAGGGAGGGGAGGAGGGAGAGTCAAGAGAAAGGGAGACAAACAGAGCCAAACTAGAATAGAACAACAGGGGCTTTGCCCCAGGGCACTAATATGAGGGTTCATACTTCCTTCCATAGAGGCTCCCTCTTGGGTGGAGGACATGCTTACCTGGTCCTCACCTTATGATCTTCCACCAGCAGTTCTACTGTCGGGGACCACCCTCTCAAGTTGCCATTCCTGGGGTCCTATCACCATCGTACCCTTCTTCTGGGACCACCTTCCCCTCTTAACCTTCTCAGGGGCACACAGCAACTTTTAGGGACAGACCATTCCCTATCTCCCCGAAACTTCAGCTACTCGTCCCACTGTTCTCTTTATCACTACCAACACCAACCTCCCTGAAATAAATTTGTCCTAGGTATAATTCACAGGGTGGTGCTTGTTATTGTTTATCCTTTATCCTAGAAGAGGACCATGACACTATGGAGGTGATGCCGTAACATGCAAGTGAATTGGATTTAAGTGAGGGAGAGCTGTGCAAGGTCATCAGCCTCACTTTCTCCTCCAGAGCTAGTTAAGGGGGAGGGGGGCAGTTGGAGAGTTGTCACAGCAAAGCCAAGTCCCTGGGTCAACGTCATCTGCCTAAAGTCCTAAACCAAGGCAAAATTTATCCTTTGTCATGGTATATTTAGGGACAGGGAATGGTGTGGGGTAGGCCACTCAGTGGTTCTGCCATTCTCCACCTCCATTATCAGTCAGTTAATAAGCATTTATTAAACACCTACTGTGTGCTAAGCACTGGGGATTCAAAGAAAGGCAAAAGACAGTCCCTGCTCTCTAGGAGCTCCCAATCTAATGGAGGAGACACTATGCAAACAAATATATACAAGCTCAGTAAGAAATGGGTTGACCCTATAGCCAGAATGGCCAAGATTAGATAGTAGAAAGTACTTCCTGCCTGCAAGTAGGGAAGACTCTAAAATGGGTCCATGAGACTTTAATACTTGCTTTTCTAGAGGTTTCCAAGAACAGGGGAGGGTGCCTAGCTGACTGGTCCACCTAGAATGGGGGTGGGACAGTGGGATCCACTGGAAGAAGGAGAGTAGAGTGGGGAGAGCCTCTGACGTGAGAATCATTTCAGCAATCGAGCTGCTGAGGATGGAAGAGCCAGGTGCTTTCGTGATAAGGGACAGCACTTCGTATCGAGGATCCTTTGGCCTAGCCATGAAGGTTCAGGAATCCCCAATATCCCTTCAGAGTGGATCAGGTAATCCAAGACATACCTCCCCAGGACCTGAAATCAATGCTGGGCATGGGGAGGGATGGCCACAGGGTCATGGATTTAGAGTTGGAAAGCACCTCATAAAGTCATCAAGTCCAGCTCTCTCAGTTTGCAGATGAGAAAACTGAAGTCCAGAGAGGGCAAGTTACTTGCCCAAGGTCATACAGATAGGAAGGGGAAGAACCAGGATTTGAACCCGTGTCCTCTGATTCTAAATCCATGAAGAAAGGAAGAGGGATAAGAAGCAACCTAATAGTAAATCCAGCTTCACTTAACACAAGGACACTGGCTTAGGAATTTGACTTTTATCAATGTGTGCCTTTTCCTGAATGGCTTTATATATACTCAAAAGCACCCCCTCCCAACTCTATTAAGTATAATTTTGTTGTGGTGGTGGTTGTTCAGTTGTTTTTTCAGTAGTGCCCCACTCTTCGTGACCCCATTTGGGATTTTCTTGGCAAAGATACTGGAGTGGTTTGCCATTTCTTTCTCCAGCCTGTTTTACAGAGAAGGGTACTGAAGCAAACAGGGTTAAGTGACTTGCCTAGGGTCACACAGCTAGGACGTGATAATTTTGTTTTTTGGTGAGGCAATAGAGGTTAAGTGACTTGCCCAGGATCATACAGCTAGGGAGTATTATGTGTCTGAGGCTGTATTTGTACTCAAGTCCTCCTGACTCCAGAGCCAGTGCTCACTACACCATCTAGCTGCCCCAAGTAAGTGATAATTTTAATGATTAATAATAGCTCCCATTGATATCATTTACAATCACAAAGTACTTCGCACACATTATCCCCCTTGATCCTCACACCCCTGTGAGGTAGGGAGAGCACATTATTATCTTGATTTTACAGATAAGAGAACTGCAGGTAAGGGAAGCCAAGTGACTTGTCTGTCAGCACACGGTAATTATGAGATTCAGAGTTGAGACTTGAAGCAAAATCCTCCAAGTCCAATTTCCAGTTTCCTTCCATTACACCAGCATATGGATCTTGCCTTCAGTGAATTTATGGTCTTACTTGGGGGGCAAGGCATACCAAATAAATGGAGGATGAAACCAAGCGTATAATAATTCAATCTAATCTGTAGGCAGAGCAGCTAGGTGGCAAAGTAGATTGAGTGCAGGGCCTAGAGTCCGGAGGACTCATCTTCCTGAGTTCAAATCTGACCTTTGACACTTACTGTGTGACCCTGGGCAAGTCACTTAATCCTTTTTGCCTCAGTTTCCTCCTCTGTAAAATAAGCTGGAGAAGAAAATAGCAAACTACTCCAGTATCTCTGCCAAGAAAACCCCAAATGCGGTCATGTAGAGTCAGACACGACTGAAAAAAACAATCTGTAGGCATTAACACTGAGGGAAAGTAAAGTCTTGAGTGCACAGAATCCGAATAGAGAGAGTCAAGGAAGGTTACTTGTATAAAGTTAACCACGAAGACTATGAATTGGTTGAAAGGAAGCAGGTCATCTCAGATCAAGAGAATGGCATGACCAAAGACTTGGAGGAGGAAAGTAAGGTACCAGGAAATATAGCAAAGAGACTATGCTGCAGATTAAGAAAATCAGTTCTAAGAAAAAGATTGTGGGAAGCAAATGAAAGACTTTGAAACCTAAACTGAGTTTAGATTTGGTCTGAAAGGCAAGTGGGAGCCATTGGGTTATTGGAATACAGAGAAAAATTTCCTAGTTCATAAGATTTAGCACCAATTTAGGAACCTTAAGAAACCATTTAGTCCAAATCACTTAAATTACAGAAGACGAAACTGAGGCACAGAGATGTAAATTCACATACTTTCAATCACACAGGTAGACAGTAATGAGTATTAGACACTAGAAGTGGCAGCCAAAAGAAGTTGGCATTTCCTTTGGAGGATTTGAAGAAAAAATTCTCATCTGTATCAGGGTGATCATGCTATGAGGCTGCCTTAATTCGGGGGGGGTGAATGGGAAAACAGTCTAAAACTGGAAGGGGCTTCAGAATCATCCAGTCCTATCCTCTCATTTTATAGATAAGGAAACCGAAGGCCAAGCAGTGATAGTAAGTGAGAGAGCTAAGGGTTGAAACCCAACAAGGCCACATCCATCGCTCTTTCCACCATGCCATACTGCCTCCACGCTGGCTCCTGCAAACTCATTCTTAACCTGGCTTTACAGAGGAAGTAAGATAGGGAAAGGCTAAAATGTTCTAAATGCTGGTAATCCATGCATTATTCCTCTTACCCATATTCAGGAGCAGATGGCAGTGACCTTGACCTCGTCCGACACTTCCTCATTGAATCTTCAGCCAAAGGGGTGCACCTCAAAGGGGCTGGGGAGGAGCCCTACTTTGGTAAGGTCCCAGGCTATCTCAGTTCCATCAGCCTGGGTGCCCCTCATTTGTTTCCTTCTTACAGCAGCCAGCTCTCTGCCTTTATGGGCAGTGATGGTTTGTCCTGTTTCACTTTGGTGACCCCATTTTCCTTGCAGGCAGCTTGTCAGCCTTTGTATACCAGCACTCCATCATGCCCTTAGCCTTGCCCTGTAAGCTAGTCATCCCCAGGAAAGGTGAGTTCTCAGGTTTCAGTAGGTCCTGAAAGAGAACTTCTGCTGGAAAAGGGTGGGGAGGACATTGTGAAAGACAAAGGAGAAGGTGGGGGGTGGGGGAGAGCAAAAGATTAATAAATTTCCAAAGGGATTGTCATGGCTAGAGGCCTAGCATCCCATATTTGCATAATTGCAATAATTATGTTGGGCTACTTAGACATGTCAGAGTTAGAAGGAGCAAATCAGAGGGATTAATGAGGGGGGTTCTTTGTTAAAGGGAATGATTTGTTCCAACCCCTTGTGGGGGGGCCTGTTGTTTTTCTTTGGTTTAGAATTGGGAGGTGGAGATGGGGCCCCAGATCCCCCAACAGACAGCGAGACCTCTCGATTGAAGAAATCAGCCAGTAAGTGGTTAACAGGGAAGGGGGGAAGGCGCCAGTCTTGGCTCAGAGGGGCCTGACAGTCCAGACCCACCTCCCACTCCCAAACCCCTCACCCCAACCCCCACACACATACACATGTTTCCCATCAGGGCTTTATTTCTAAGCCTTTAACAAGGTGCCACATTCTTCTCTCCTCATAGTAAAAGGAGAGAGGTTGAGAGGCTAAAATTGGCCAGCTGGCAAGGTAACAGGGCACAGGGGGCAAGTGGGGCCATCTAGCCCAAAGATGTGCACAGAGTAGGTTCTGTGAACATTATTCAATGAAAGAAGGGTGCCTGACACTTCAAGAGTACAGAGAGGAAAGAACGCCCAATTTGGAGTCTAAGAACCCAAGTTTTCTACTCTGCCCTGTGATCATGGCCAAGTCACTTAACCTCTGAACCTTCTCTGTAAAATGAGAAAGTTGGATTGGATAATGCCTGAAAGGCCTTCCAACTCTACCAGCTGTAAATCTTATTATTTCTTTCATCTTAAGTGGGTCTCTCTGGGCCTGAGGACCCTCCCCTGGGGGGGGCGGGGAGGCTGCCTCCCTTAGTCTGAGACCCCTCCGGCAAGATTCTTTCAATTCTTTGTTGCTTCCCCTCCTCCCCTAATTAGACTTTGACCATCTGGATTAACTCATACCTTGAAGTCACATCTGGAAGCTTCCATATTCTACTAATTCCTTCCCCCTCACCCCAACTTCTGACCACACACACACACACACACACACACATACACACGCACATGCACATGCATGCACACACGCACTTCCTCCTACCAAGCAAGGACAGGAACTGAATTCTACAGGGTCGCTGGATTCTCACCTTCAGCCCTGCTCCAGCTCTCACATTGATACATGAGCACTGACCTGTTAGGACGAACAAGGGAGAGGAAAATAACATCTGGGATAGATAATCCATCCTAGGACTCCTGCATGTTTATAACTCACAAATCCATCCACGAATGGCGAAATGCAGAGATACAGACAACACAGGACAGCAGATAATCCCACAGATCTTTCCATTTGACGCTAAATGTCAATCCCAAACACACTCTCACTTCCTCCCTTCTGGGCTGCTTCCTACTCAGCCCTACCATTTGCAGCATGGGCTCCAATTGAATGGTGAAAAGGAGAGAGTCACTTGGAGATGATCCAGAGTGGGTGGCAGGAAGCCGCCGTAGTAGGAGTGATTCTTGTCTGTGTCTTCCAGGCTGCCAAGCTCTGTACCTGACCTCTGTGAGTGTGGAGACGTTGACTGGGGCCATGGCCGTGCAGAAGGCCATTTCCTCCACCTTTGAGAGGGACACTCTCCCCACACCTACTGTGGTCCACATTAAAGTCACAGACCAGGGCATCACTCTCACCGATGTGCAAAGAAAGTAAGAGCCTTCCTATCCACCAGGCCTCCTGGGATGGGTACAGGTACGGGTGGGAATAACAGGGACACCTTTCTGGTAGTACAACTTGGAGAAGGTAAGCAAAGTGGCCTAGTGGACAGAACCTTGGAATAAATAGCAAAAAGTCAAGTTTTTCTGGTCCTCACTCTATGGAAATAATTCTTTGCCCCTAAATCTAGTGGCATTGGCTTTGTACTCATCCTCCTTGACCCCTCTTCAGCATCTGGCACTGTTGACCACCCCCTTCTTTTCTCCTCCTTTACCTTCCCTGACATTACACTCTGTGGTTTTTCTCCTATCTCTGATCACTCCTCCTCTGACTCCTGTCCTTATATCTTCTTCATCCTCCTGCTACCCCTTCAATTCAAGCAGAACACCCACAGAACAAAGGGTTCTCTCCTGAGCCCCATTTTCTTCTTGAGCTCTTCCATTCTCATGATTTCGGTTGTCATCTCTATGAAGACGACCCCCAGACCCATATCTTCCCTTGAAACCTCTCCTCAGAGTTCCAGTCCAGTATTTCCAATTGTCATCATGTCTACTTGAGTGAGTGTCTTGCCAACATTTCAAACTCCACATAATCCAAAATGAAATCCTCATCTTCCCTATTTTTATGGATGGCACCCACCATCTTTCCAGTCATGTAGATTCATAGCCTTGGAGTCCCTTCTTGTCTCTTCCCTCTCCCTTATTCCCCCCACCTAGTAAGTTGCCAAATGCTATAGATTCTTTCTTGGCAATATCTCTCATATCTGTCTCCTTTCCACTCCCACTGGAACCATCTAAATTCAGGCCTTTATTACCTCTCACCTAGCCTATTACAATTACTTCTTAATGAATCTTTAGGCCTCTAGTTTCTCCCTTCTACAGGCTATCTGTCAAACCAATTCCTAAGCACTCTCCCCAACCAATGCACTGCCTTGATTATCATTCCTCTCCTACAAAATCGTCAACATCTTCCTTTGCCTGCTGAATAAAGGGTAACCTCCCAGCCCTGGCATTCAAGACTTTCCATAATCTTACTCTCCAACCTGACTTTCCAGTCTCATCTCACATTCTGCTTCATGTATTCTGCATTCTATTCTCACTGTACGCCATGTTCCATCCTTGTCCTGCTCCCTTCCATCACCTTGCCTCCACCCAACTGGCCACCCTGCTTGAATGAGATACCCTCCACCCCATCTCCATCATTATCTGTCCACTCCCTTCCTTCCAGACCCAACTCAGGTACCATATCCTCCGTGAAAACTTTCCCACCTGAAGGTGAGTTGTCTCTCCTCAAGCCTTGCCTGGACCTCTTCTTTGTAACTGACTTCTCCTTTATTTCAGTTATATTTGCTTTCTTGCCATTTCCCTCTATTAGATTAAAAGATAGCTTGTATCTATCTTTATGTATTTATACCATACTTTGCACACTGTGATGAACAAATAAATATTAATAATATATAAACAATATCTATAATACAATATATTATCTATTAATATAGAATTACTTATAACAAATTTTATCTATTATATTATTACATATTAATATGATATTAATATTAATGTATGCATATTTGAATTTATGTCCCTCAGCCTCTTTGTCCCCCCAACTCTCCAGGGAGTTCCTTAGGGAAATGCTCTTGGGATGCTGCAGTAAGCTCCCACCCATTCTTCTTTTTCTCCTTCTCTTCACAGGGTGTTTTTCCGGCGCCATTATCCACTTGCCACTCTCCGTTTCTGTGGCATGGACCCAGAGCATAGAAAGTAAGTACAGGATTGAGGCCTAGCAAGTCTAGGACTCAAGATGGCAGTCCCACATTTCTCCTGTGCACCTACCCCCAGGGAACACCCTCAGCCAGCCCTGCTCCTCCCCTAGCAGGGGGCACTGGAAAAGGTGGTCCCACTTGTGAGAACTAGGATGCTACGGGCTTCATTTGGGGAGGATAAGGAAGGGAAGGAAGTTAGATCTTTCCTCGATACACCTCTCAGTCAGAGCTCCATTCAGAAGGGAACAAAGCCCTTCTTCATTTTATTCTGTTTCTCCCTTATCTCAAACAGGTGGCAGAAGTATTGCAAATCTTCCCGGTAAGTCCTCCTCCCCTCTTCTCCTATTGTGAAACTTTCTTAGCATAGTCAGCCAGTCATTGGTTGGAGATCCTCTATGCACAGACCCTTGTGCTGGGATCATGAGATGGATTCAAAGGACGGCAGAAACAGTCACTGTTTTTTTGCTGGGGGAAATATAGTCCCTGCCTTCGGGGCAGGAGGGGCTGCCTAGTCTGATTGGAATGGAGAAGACTCAGTCTCTATGCTTGAGGGGAAGGGGTGTAGTCTGCTAGGGGGAAAATCAGGTCCCCAGGTGGTCCCCAGTCTGATGAGATGAGGAAAAGATACAGTTCCTGTCCTTAGAAAACCCCTAAACTGATTGGGGTGGGGAGAAGCATAGTTTCTACTCTCAAGGACCCCCCAGTCTGATGGATAGGGGTGGAGGGTAGAGATTCTATCCCTTTCATTTGGGCCGAAGGCCTTCAATGAGGTCAGATGAGCATGAGAAAGTACTAAGGCGAGACTGAAATCGTGTGTGTCTGTGTGTGTGTGTGTGTGTCTGTGTTTGTGTCTGTGTGGTGTGGGGGTGGGCATTAAGGAAATCCAGTCCTATCCCAGGCTGGAGAAGCCTCCAACCCCAGATCTAATTCAGGCTGCCTTTCTCTTTCTCCTCCAGGATTTTTGGCTTTATTGCCAAGAGTTTGACAGAGCATGCAGAAAACGCATGTCATCTCTTTGCTGAATATGACACTGTCCAGCCAGTGTCTCTGGTCATCGACCTCGTGGGCACCCTGCTTCTGGATGTAGAGAGGATGTAGCTGCAACGGGAGGTGCAGAGGGCAGCTGGCCAAGGGATGCTCCCCATTTCTCCCTGAACACCCTTGCCCATCTCTGCCTGATAGAGGAGAGTGGCCAAGGCCACACTTCTAGACCAGCCTCAGGAGAGTCCAGGTTGCCACCTCTGTGGAAGACTGGAAAGAGATTGATGAAACTAATTCCAGACCTAAAACCTCCAGACATTGACAGAACTGTCCTGGTCAAGGGTTGAGCTCTTCTGTAGAGCAGAGTGCGACTCAATAGTATGTGCTTAGACCCTGTCCAGTGGAGACCAGAGAGCACCATGCCTGAGATACTACAAGGAGGGAGTAAACTGTGCCCCCCCCCATGTTCAAGGAAGACACCAATGAGGTGGGAAGGGCTCTGTCTCTACTCCAGTCTGGCTCCTTTATCCCTAGTATAATACAGTCACAGAATCTTGGAGTGAGTTTATCCAGCCAGTGCTACGTTTGAAGGCTGTTCAGGCCAGCTCCCCTCCGCCAACCCCTCACACACAGGACCACTGCCACTACCACCAGCCCTGGCTTCTAGGAAAGCTGAAATCTGGGATCAGAGCATCTTGTCCAGAAATTCTTAACCTAGGGTCCATGAACTTGGTTTTTAATAATATTTTGATAACTATATTTGAGTAGAATTGATTTCCTTTGCAATCCTATGTATTTTATCTTTTGCCTCTAAAATATTAATCTGAGGAGGGGGTCATAGGCTTCATCAGACTGCCAAAGGGAGCCATGATACGGAAAAGGTCCAGAACCCCCTAGTCTAATCCAACTCCCTCATTTTCTAGATGAAGAAACAGAGATCCAAAGCAGCTTTTTTCTCAAATTGAGTCTCTCAGGCAGCCTGGCCAGACTTCCTCCAAAAAAGGAGTGGGGTTGGGGGGAGAGAGAGAGGGAACAGAATGTATAGAAACACTGAAAGTGGTCACAGGTATAACCATTGAGCACCTAAGGAATCTGGCCAGCCCTTGTGCATATCTCTATCTTGCTGGCTGCTGATTGGTGCATTCAAAAGTATCTGGGGTCTGCTTGCCCTGGATTGGTGCATTTGTAAAGGATTGCATAAACTGTGCTATACAAGCATAGTTCAGGAATGTCTGCAGTTCTGACAGAGACGACTAGCTCTGGGTTGGGCCTGGTGTGTCATGGGGCATGTCCCAAACCAGGACACACTGGCCCCCAGTGGCTATGTCACAAGCTAGCATATGTCCCTTTTGTTTTTAACATCAATAAAGTATAACTAGCTTAAGGTCCCAGTGAGCATGAGCTGTATTTCCCTTCCTTGAAACCAGAAACAGACCTTAACATCTTCTCACTCCCATGCCTCTTTTAGCTTTCCTAGGACAAAGTATCTGACATCTAACTTCAAAGATGTACTTTCTTTAGAGGAGCCTAGGGGGGTTTAACCTCAGATTCATCAACTTTTGGGAGTTCCCTCACTTTTACCACTCACTGCCTGTATTACCTTGGATAAGTCACTCTCTCGACCTCAGTTTCTCCAGCTGTGAAATGATGGGGTTGGATTAGATGACATATAAAGTCACTTCCAGTTCTCATCTTTGAGTCTTCTCCCTGGATGTGCCTTAAATTAATTCTCTGTCCTCAAGAACAAAGGATCAAACCTGTTTTATGGCCCCCAGCCAGCAGCATCGACCACAAGGGGGCAACAGAGAGTCAAGAATCAAAACACCATTGGATGGAGACCCCATCTCAGGAGAGGGATGGGGAGGGGTTTGTTTAAGGAGATGGAAAGATTCATTAAAGGCACAGAATCTAGGGAGACAATGGTCTGGTCCTAAAGTTAGACGGTGTGTTCACAAGCTCCTGTCGGGGTAGGGGGAGGAGAGAAAATAGGAGACCCTCAGCAGATTCGTTGGAAGGAGATAGTCCTGGCGGGGGGAGGAAGGGAGGGAGATTGCTCTGGAAGAAGGATCATATTTGTTCTAGAAGTAACAAGTGACTGGCCTCTAATGAGAGCCAGCTGGCAGCTGCGGCCAGCAGCACATCATTAACCTTGGCCAAGGGCTTGGTTTGACGGAGGTTACAGTTTCAATCTGGGAAACCAGATTCATCTGGAACAGCCTGGGGGGTGATGGGCACAGGCAGGCATGAGACTGCCCAACCAGATCGACCTCCCCCTACCACCCAGCCTCCTCCTGCTTCCCTATGCCCCGGCTGGGTCCATGGAATCCCAGCATGACAGAAATGGAAGGGTGAGGATGGAATCTGAACTCTCACTTTACAGAGGAGGAAACTGAAACCTATTTCATCAGAGCAAGCCTTTCTCTGTCTCATCTGTCTCTCTGTCTCTGCCTCTCTCTGCCTTTCTCTGTCTGTCTCTCCCACTCTCCTTTTCCTCTCTTTCTTTTAATCTCTCTCCCTCTTTTCTCCTAAATTGCTTAACTTCTCTTTAAATCTTTCTCTCTTTCTCAATGTTTTCCTCTTTATCTGTCTCTTTCCCTCTCTCCTCTCTCAGCCTCTCTCATGGTGTCTTTTTCTGTCTTTGTCCCTCTCTCTCTCTCTCTCTCTCTATATATATATATAATATATACATACATGTATATGTATGTATATGTATACATATCTGTGTCTGTTTCTGTGTCTCTGCCTCTGCTGTGTCTATGTGTCTGTATGTGTATCTGTCTATCTGTCTCTCTCTGTCTCTCTCTCCCCTTGCCCTTTCTTTCTCTCCTTACTAGTTGTGTGACCTTGGGTAATCTATCCATCCATCAATTAACAAGCATTTATTTATTAAACATTTACTATATGCTAAACCCTGGAAGTATAAAGATAAAAGTGAAATCGTTTCTGCCTTCAAGGATCTTAAATTCTAACGGGGAAAGGCAATACATAACAGGATGCTGGAAAGAGAAATGAAAGCAAGTGGCCTCTTTCCAAGCCAGAGGGAGAGTAATATTCAACTAGGCTGGAAAGGTAGGTTGGGACTGCATTCGGAAAGGTTTTAAAAATCAAACAGAGGACTTTATATTTGATCCTCAAGGCAATTAAGGAGCCACTGGAGTTTACTGAGTAGGAGAGTACCACTATCATACCTTCCTGCCTTTAAGGAAAATCACTTTGATAGTCAGAGGATAGATCTGAGTGGGAAAAGATGTGAGGCAGGGAGACCAATTGGGAGGCCAAAGGAAGGAGGGAAAGGAAGGGGAGGGGAGGGAGGAAGAAAGAGAGGGAAGGAAGGTAGAAAGGAAGGAAGGAGGGAGGGAGGGATTTATTAAGTGCTTCTTTTGTGCCAAGCACTGTGCTAAAGTGCTTTACAAATATCTCATTTGAGCCTCATAACAACCCTCTGAGGTAGGTGCTATCATTTTCCCCATTTTATAGTTGAAGAAACTAAGGCAGACTGAAATTAAGAGCCCAGGGTCACACAGCTAGTTGTGTTTGAGGGTAGGTTTTAATTCAGGTCTTTAGCTGCCCCCTAGTGGAGGTAAGAAGTGATAAGGTAGAAGAAGCAGTGTGTTGGTTGTGCAAGTGAAGAGAGAGGGACAGATTTGAGAAAGTCGTGGAGATGGAAATGACAAGATTTAGCGACTGACTGATCATCCCTGGAGCATAAATGAAAGTCAGAAGCTATGAAGAACCTTGAGCGTGCAAGCCTGGATAACTGAAAGAATGGCTGGTAGCCTCTGCAATCATAGGGACGCTCAAAAGAGGGGAAGGTTTGTCGGAAAGGATGAGTTCTGTTTTGGACCTGCTGAATTCAAGATGCTTATGGGGACATCCATTACAAAATATCTATTAGGCAATTGGTTTTGCAGGTCTGGAGCTCAGGAGAGAGATTAAGAATGGATGTATAGATGGCCATTTAGGACTGGGAGTCCTGCAGATGATAATTATATCTGGGGAAACTGATGAGGTCAATAAATAAAAGATTATAAGGGGAGAAAATAAGAGGCCCAGGACCTCTGTGGGCCTGACTTTCCTCATGTTCAGAATGAGGAGTCCTAACCAGTGACCTTGAAAGTCCCTGCCAATCTCTGATCCTATGATCCTGGGTCATCAGTAACAGAACACATTTAGGCCGGTCAATCAAAAAAGAAACATGGAACCCTAGAATATTAGCACTGGAAGGGTCCCTCACGTTCATCTAGTCCAATACCCTCTTTATAGAAGAAAAAAACATGATTTAAAGAAACTAAATGAATTGTCCAGGGTCACACAACTGGGAACTAGAATAGAGACTAAAAGTCATGGTACAAAGGGATAAGAACCCAAATCTTGCAACCATAGAACCTGAGTTTGAACATCAGCTTCCCTACTTATTATATGTGTGACCCCATCCATAAATTAAGGGGATTGGACAAGAATCTCTCAGGCCCTTCCAACTCTACATCTATGGTCCTATGTCCCATGCTTTTCCCAGTACAACCTGTTGATTGATTGTGATTCAGCTCAAGTCGTCCCATTACCCAGCCTTCCTTCTGTTCTCTTCCCTCGCTCTAACCCTTACTCAGATGGGTCAGGTTGGGCCAGGCCAATGTGGAAAATATGTGGTTGGCCCCCACTTGGATCCACCTGACATGGCTCCCCTCCTCACCAAGATGAGGAGCTAGGTGGGCAGGGGGCACATCACACCAGGGTACAGTAACAGAACTCTGGGGATGGCTCTGAAGCAACACCCAGAGCAGTGGGGAGACGAGGGTGAAGTGAGTCATCATACCTCCTTGTGACCAACCCAAGACTAGGAGGTGGGCTAAGGATCAAGAGAGACAGCCCAGACACATAGGCGTCCTAGAAAATCAGTGTTGGACCTGAAAGGACCCATAGTCAGGGCGGCCTGCTGCTACATGAGCCCTGGGAATGCCCAGGTAGCTGGGAATAGCCCAGTGGGAAGAATATTGGAGTCTGAGGACCTCAGTTCAAATCCCAGCTCTACCACCTAGTATCTGTGTGATCTAGAACAAGTCACTTAAACCCTCTGGGCCTCCTTTTCCTTATTTATTAAATTAGGGGATGACCATTAAGGAAAGTTTTAAGTCTGTGATCCTATGAGCCTGTCCAGAAGACAATGTGGCATAGCGGGAGGAATGCTAAATTTGAGTCTGTCACCTGCTTCCTGTTTGAACTTGACTTCAGCAAATTACTTAGCCTCCATGGGCCTCAGTTTCTCCATCTCTAACATGAAGAAATTGGACCTGAAGACCTCTACAGTCCCTTCCAGTCCTAAATCTATGTTCTCATACCTGGACTGCTGATCTGGATGGCCCACCTGCCCCCCACACATAACCGTGGGATAAGCTAGTCGGTGGGAATGGAAAACATCCTCAAAGCATACTGGCTTCTGGCCTCTCTCTGACCAAATCTGCCTTGGTTTCCCCAGCCAAGCAGAGGAGTCAGACCATCCAGCCTAGTTCACAGCCTGCCCCCAGGACAATGTTACGCATTGGGCCACACCAGTTCTAAGAGGACAGAGTCACCAGAGATGAGAGCTCACAACAGAGAAGGGAAGGCTGCCTTCTTCATCCTAATAATAACTAACCCATTTTTAGCATTTTGAGGTTTACATGTAATTATCTCATTAATCCTAAAAACACTATAAGGTAGGATCTACTATTATCTCATTACAGATGAAAAAACTGAGCCTGAGGAGGGTTAAGGGACTTGTC